CTAAACATCCTGTATTCTCCATTCATAGTTTTAAATTTAAGTGGATAATCAAAATAAACAGTTTATATAAAGAATAAAAATTAACAATATAATAATTGTAATGTGTTTTATAGGACTGCTAGGATCATCTTTTCTGAACTAATTAGTTTCCCATTTCATTAAGAGAAGAGTGGTATTAGGAAGAGGATGTTCACAGACTTCTACACTTTGTCTACCTCCTTGCCTGTGCCTGTATACTCATTCTTCCCTGTGTTTCTGTAGATGTCTGTTCCTCCATCTAAGGCCAGTCTCTCTACTTTTACACCAAATTCTATTTCCTCTTGTCATTTGAAAACACTATCCCTCACCCCTCAATCTCCTGCATTGTCAGTCTTTCCTTTTCTCCGTTTCCCTTTCATCTTTGTCAGCATAGTAACATGCTATATTTCTGTCTTTAAAAACTGAAGTCCAACCTCATGTTCCCCTCCAGCTACCACTGTATTTCTCTCATTTCTTTACAGGAAATCGCCTCCAAAGACTTGTCCACACCTGCTGGAGTTTTCACTTTAGGATTCACTTCAGTCAGGTTTTGATCACCACCACTGTACTAGTTTTGGTCAAAGTCACTAAAAATGTCTCTGTTGCTAAAATCCAATAGTCAGTTCCTAGTTTGCATTGTACTTTAATCAACACTATTTGACAGAAGTGATTAATCTCTCCTTAATATATTTTATTCATTTAGCAACCAGGGCAAATGCTCCTAATTTTCTTTCTACCTCCTCTTCTCAATCTCCTTTGCAAATTCTTGTTCATCTTCCTGGCACTGAATTGTCCTAGGGCTCAGTCTTGAGACATGGGTTCTGTTTATACCCATTCCCTTGATGATTTTATCCAGGCTATGGCTTTAAGTATAATTCATGTGCTGAGTACGCCTAAATTCGTATCTCCAGCTTGTACAGATAAATATCTTCACCTATCTAAGCATTCTTTTTGTTTAGCTGCATACTGGACATCTCCACCTGTCTAAAATCTAACTCCTGGTCTTCAGCCCCAACCATGTCTTTTCTACATTTCTTGCATCTCAATAAAGAGCAACGTTTTTGTACTTGGTTTACTCTAAAAGATTTGGAATTATCTTTGCTTGTTCACTCACACCCACATTCCAGTTCTCAGCAAATTATCTTATCTCGACCCTCATAACATACTCACAGTTTGACTACTTCTTACTACTTTTGCTAATATAGCTTGCCCATATCATCTCTTGCCTAGGTTATTTCAGTTATCTCTTTAGTTATCCCTGCTTTCACCTTTTCCCTTTATCTTTTCAACTCAAAACCCATCAGTGCCTTCTCATTTTACCCAGAGTATGGGCCGCAGTCCTTCCAGTTGTCTGTAAGGAACTACATGGTTTGCTCACTGCCCCCTGCCTCCTTCAAATGATCTTTTTAACCTCATCTTCTGCTACTTTTCATTCTTGTTTATTATAATTGAACCACATTGTTTTTATTGTTCTTTCTCACATGTCATTTATGTTCCTGTCTCTTATACTGTATATTAATTGATGGGCTGTCTTTTAGTAGAAATTCAGCCCTATAAGGTAAAGGGATTGTGGCCTTTTTTTGCTGTTTATTCAGAACACCGTAGAAAACAGTGCTGACATATAATTAGTGTTAAATAACTATACAAATTGAATTAATAGACTGTTGTGGAAGATGGTAGTTGAAAAGATATTTTCATAGGTAAGATTTGTGGTGGATTTTGAAGGATAAGTGATGATTTGATACAAAGGACAAGGCAAAGTTTTTTAGATTTGATGGTAGGGAGGATGTGAAATTGGACTTTTCAGAAAGTCACTCCTTTTGGTTTCCTGATTTGTAACCTGCACTTGCTTCTTACAGCTGGTTTTGTCCACTCAGTTGACCGTTGATCTTCCCTAGCTGGTTGTACTTTATGATTCTTCAAAATCATGTATAAACTCCCGGACACGAGCCCATTCCTATATTCTTGAATTTGACATGTGGTTTCATCATTTATGGATTCTTCCAAGCTAGAAATACAGAACTTGTCTTAGACTCCTCCCTCGCTTTCACCATGTGCTATAGTTGCCTTGCCCTGTTAATTGTTTTAGCAAAGTATCTATAGCTGCATTGACTTGATTCACTCTCATCAGATCTATTTGGCCTATTGAAATAGTCATTTAAATTGGTCTCCTTGCACCTATGTTAACCTACCCATTGGATTTTAAAATTCGATTATATTTTCTATTTGTAGAAGTCCTAATTGATTCCTGTCTACCCAGTTACTTTTGACAGTTCTGTTCTTTGCTTATTTTCCCAGTTTCCTCTTATTCTTTATGTGTATATAATGTAATCATTATCTATTAATTCCAGTATCTTAAATCTGTAGGGGTCTGATTCCTTAGTTTATTTCTGTTGTCTCTTGTTCATGGTGGCTAATCTCATTCCTGTCATTTTGGGTTGTGGGCTCTTATATGGATGACAATCTTTGGCATTCCTGAGGCTCCTCGAGGGAGCATTCCACCAAAGAAGTGTGCATTCACTTCTGGCACATGCACTATGGGCACCACCAACTTGGGACCACTTAAATTTTTTTATTTGGCATTTTCAGGATCATGCAAGTAATTTGGACCTTAGAGCTATGTAAGAAGAGACCCCTGGGACCAAGGCAGAATTATGGCCAAAAATCGAGGCTCTTAACTTTATTTTCATGCTTCATTGTGTTGCTATTCATCAATCTTCATATTTATTTCTGTTCAGGATATATCTGGAATATGACAGGAATACTTTATTTGAAGGTTAGTGACAACACAATGCCTAATCTTGAATTTTAGCAAGAAGACTTCAGAAAATACTGTAGATAAGTTCTGTTTGTGAAATGGAAATCTGATTAAATGATACATGTCTGCCAGTAGACTTTTTATCACTAAAGAGTACTTCCATAAATAAATATTTTTCCTTAAAAAGATTAACTTGTACATTAAAAAGACAACATAAGATTTTATTGTGGATTTAAAGGAAGAGAAACACGGTATGAGTAGTGGCATGTTTGGAATACAAACTATTTAGATTTAGTATGATCAGGTCACAGGTAGATTTTTTAACTTATGAACACTGTTTTTACAAAGAACTTATAATAAGAACTTTTAGCTTAAGCTTCATAGCTACTTGTTTTTAACTATGTTGTACGTTGAATAAAGCTCTTGTAGGCTACTCTGGGTGCCTGTATATCTTTTAGAGGTATATTCCTTTAGTTGTTTCAGACATAGATGCATACAGGAACTTTTATGAAATTAATTGTTCTTGGGTTGAAAACTACCTTTCCCTCAGTTGATTGCTCTTTACAAATGTGCCTGCTTGTATGTTATTTGGTATACATCAGTGGAAAAAGATTGTTCAGATTTTAGTCTTGAAATTTTCTTAAAATTTTCCCTAGTAGTTCTTTTTAGTCACTCCAGTTGACATCCATTTATCAGTTGAAGAACAGAATTTATGAAATTAGTTTCATTAGTGTCATTTGTTTTAAATTCTCTTTTAGTTTAAAGAAAGTGACGGCAAAGGCAAGAGTAACTGAAATGCCATGATAGTAAGAAAACAGATTTCAAAATTTTTATATTTACTTAAAATTCAGTAGTATACTGATAAAACTTGCTTCCTTTTTCCCTTCTTGGCATATGTAAATAACAATTCTTTTTTTTTAAATTTGTGTTTAAACTTTTAAAAGTGTAATATTGTGCATTCAGGGTAGTTACTTAAATTTCTGTTTTAATGCAGAAGAAATTAACGTTGAACAAATGACCTGTACATAACCTCACTCTAAAAAAATGTAATGATTCTCATTTTTATGTAGTCTCAGACTATGTAAGTATGTAATTGTGCTCAACATAAATAATTTTCAATTTTTTTGTTATGTAATGTATTTTGCTGCAGTACACTGTCTTAATTATTTCAAACAGTTTGATGTTTAAATGTGTGATATTTCTGTAGGTATCCCTCACTTAATTTCATTGCTTTATCATTATAAACAGTGGACCCATCATTATATATATGTTTTTTATCCTTTTTGATTAAGTAATTCTGTTGAACTTATAGTCATTGCTCCTTGATTTTTTTTATGTCATTTAAAATTTTAGGTTTTGTATTATTTGTTACATGAATATAAACAGATTATCAAGCCTTCTGAGAAGTTTACAAAATTTAACTCAGTGTGCAACTCAGTTTTTTTATGAACAAACTTAAGTTATGGGAAGGCAAGTAAATAGAATTTTAAAACTATTTGATTAACATTCATAATACATACTCAGACAAAACAGAATATGTATATCCATTCTGTTAACTTTTTCTCGGAGTGGTGGTGGGGGATTAGAGCAGGTCAGGGCTAAAAGCTCTCATCTCTTATTTTAACCTGTGATCCATACATACCCCTTCAGGGTGTCCAGAAATCTTTTGACATTATATGTATACCTTAGTGAGTATGTATACTTTTTTGTTTTGAGGAAGAACTGATAGCTTTCATAAGTTTTTTTGACTGATTTATGTCCAAATAAAAGATAAAGCCAGTGATTTGGGTTTGATTTCTTAGGACCCCATGGATATCTCTCTCCTGGTTCACCTAACAGAAATCTGTACCACTGTTAGCTGGTGTTTTTTGTTTTTTGGGATATATTTCCTTTTATTCATTATTCCATTCACAGATTTTATTTTGTACATTTTTGTGATTACACTGAATATATAGTTTTTTAAAAAATTGAAGTATATTTGATTAACAATGTTGTGTTTCAGGTGTACACCCTTAGCTATTAATTCTATTAAAATTGAAATCTATTAAGGTTTAAGAAATGATTAGGTTAAAAGGTCATTAATATTACAAAGGGAACGTGATAATATGGAAGAAATTAACGTTGGTATATTTTGTTGTCATCTCAGATTTTATTAACTCAGCATATATACATTAAATTGCTTCTGTGGACTTAGAGAAAATTTTGATGACCTGATTCCTTTCACCTTCATCTAAATTAACGGTTTCAACCTCTTCTTCCCCTTTCTTTTATTTTTCTGTTGTCTCCCCCTTCCCAACTTAAAAAGTGTCTTCTTGTCTTTGCTCTTCTGCCTGTATTCCCCTGTATTTCATTGCTTGTTTCCTTTTGCCTCCTTTCCCCTCTCCTTACATTACTCTTATGCCCACAGGAATAATGTGAAACTCTGATATATATTGATATCGTAGTATGTATTAATTTTGCCATTTTTAAAAATAAGCAAGAAATTGAGCATTTTAAGAATTTCTCTTAAACTAGCAAAATTTAAAATAACGCAAGTGAGACTGCATCCATGATTCTGGCACAAGCCTTTTGTTTTCATATTCATCTTAAGCTGTATTATACATGAAATATTTTGATCATACAAGTAAAATTATGATTTTGACCATTCAGTATATAATTGAATTTAAAGAGTCTTAGCATTTACAGTTTTAATTAGCAATGTCTTATTGAATTGATATTTTAACCCATTCTGATGTTGTATATTTTATGTCTCTTTCAGGTTTTAATATTATATGTAATATTGCTATGAATATCTTTATATATGCTTTTCCTTATAAATTTCTTAGGAAATTTACAAGGTAAAGAATCGGGAATAGTGGATTAAAGGACTGCAGACATTTTCTTGACTTTACGTTTGTCTTGGTGCTCTGGTTGGGCTCCTCCTAGATGCAGAAGGAGAGCTCAAATTAAGAGGAATTGAATTAATTATGTGAAGGGAATCTCATGAAAATCCAAAGATGGGAATTGTGATTCTTCTAGGCTTATACGAGACCTGGAAAAGGGAACTAGAAAATCATCAGACCAGTTGAGGAGTTTCAGAGTTCTTGTGGTCTCCTGGCCTGTCTTCTTCCTGAATGTTTGTTTCTTGCTCTGCTTAATCATAGATTTTGCTCTCCTAATACTTAGGCTGCACATGGCTGCAACTTACTCTTCATTAAAGCCTTTCTGACTTTGACTTGACCTTTATTCCAGAATCTGAGGCTGCTGCTAAGTGCCTTAGCCTCTTTTCTTCCCCCAGAGCAAAAATCAATGGAGTTCTAACTCATTGTTTTGTCCTTTATCCTCCCCCAACCCTCTGCAAAGTTGAAGGGCTTAGTAGCCTGTGGATGGTAATGTCAAAACAAACAAAAAGCCAAAAATAAGTCTTTTAGAAAGCATTTCTGCTTGACCAGTAACACTTAGGCACAGTAAAAATATGTCTAATTAGTTAAAAATCTTGGATAATTCATGAATTGTCAGAGAAAAACAATTCTGTGTGGAGATCCTTTTAGTATTTTGTTAGCACATGATGCCTTTTCCCCTTCATCTGGTTAAGACTGTCTCTTAGTAAGTCCAGGATTATGTTAATATCATTAAAATTTTTGCTTACTGATTAAAAGTTGCTAAGATAAGGTGATTGCCAGCTTTGTTTTTGCAATATAACTTATTTTGTAGTATGGAATAAAAAAATTGAGAAAAGCATCTAATTTGTACCTTATTTTGGTGCCAAATGACATGTCTTAACATTTTGATTTTTATTTTGTTGTGAGTCCATACCTTGTTTTATCCCACTGTATTATTAGGCTGTTAGTTACTGAAATAAAGGTGCTCACAGTTTATGAATGAGCTTGGATCTAAATGAAGGAATGAACTACCTCTATTTTCTTTGCTGTTAAGAGTATAATACTTTTAATGAATATCCAGTTTGCTGGTAGTAGTTAATGCCTCTTTATGTCCTTATACAGTGATTTTCATGAAGATTGTATGATAAGAGGGAAAAAAGCTAAATACTAATAGTGTCAAAAGTGAATGTTTGGGGGAAAAAGTAATGTGATGGCTAAGTTTTTTTCCTCCTATTAGGATCACGTGATTTAAAAAGAGAGGAATGTGTTATCCTCCTTCTAGTTACCATGGTTTTTAAATTGCATATTTGAATTGTAGTTGGCACAGTAATCAAGTATGTGATTTAAAAAACTAACTTGCTTTGATTTGTAAATCAGGTTAAATCTGAAATACCAATAGAAAGAGCAGAGGTTTTGTGTGTTTAATTTTATAAGACTGATTGACTTTTTTTTCTTTTTTCACATTTAGGTTTTATAGAATCACATTAACAAAAGCACCATGGAGTTTTATGAGTCAACATATTTTATTGTCCTTATTCCTTCAGTAGTCATAACAGTAATTTTCCTCTTCTTCTGGCTTTTCATGAAAGAAACATTATATGATGAAGTTCTTGCAAAACAGAAAAGAGAACAAAAGCTTATTCCTACCAAAACAGATAAAAAGAAGGCAGAAAAGAAAAAGAATAAAAAGAAAGAAATCCAGAATGGGAACCTCCATGAATCAGATTCTGAGAGTGTACCCCGGGACTTCAAATTATCTGATGCCTTGTCTGTAGAAGATGAGCAAGTTGTACCTGTTCCACTGAATGTGGCTGAAACTTCAAGTAGTGTTAGAGAAAGAAAGAAGAAGGAAAAGAAGCACAAGCCTGTACTAGAAGAGCAGGTCACCAAAGAAAGTGATGTATCAAAGATTCCATGCAAAAAAGTAGAACCTGTCCCAGTTACTAAACAGCCCACCCCTCCCTCTGAAGCTGCTGCCTCAAAGAAGAAACCAGGGCAGAAAAAGTCTAAAAATGGAAGCGGTATTGTAATCTATTTAACTTTATTACATGATTATATTTTAATAACTTTAGAGTGTGAAGTTCAGGTATTTTTTTTTTAAGTGTACACGCAAATGTTAAGTACTGAATCTGAAATCAAGGTCATTATCCTTTTCAGTGTGCTTTCATTGATTGCTGTTAGAAATAATTAGTATTGATCATAAAACAGCATTTAAAACTAAATTTCATGTGACAAATATGGAAAAGACCTTTAATAATATATAACATCTAACTGTTATGCTAAAACCGCTAAGGACCTGTAAATATCAGTACGTAGAAACTTACATGTATTTCAACCAATACTTTCTAATCAGTGTGATAGGAATTAAAGATGAAAAAAATCAGATATTTTCACCCTTGATTGATTCATTTTGCGAACATTATACGTCTGTTTCATGCTAGATGTTACATTAGGTACTAGAACTATATGAAGACTGCATTTCTAAGGTAGTCGCATACTAACTGCAGACACAAATAGAAATACGTTATTATACTGTAAAAGGTTTAGTATAATGATTTAGGTATGTCTAAACCAGTGTAAGAGTTCTAAGGTGGGACACTTAGAGCATGTAATGCCTAAAATTATCTTAAAGGTTGAATAAATACTAGCTAGCTTTCCTTGGTGGCTGGAGTATTCCAAGGAGAGGAGTTAACAGGTACAATGGAATGGACATGAGAAATGGTGTGATGATGGGTGAAACTGCAAACAATTTGCTGTGTATGAAAGGGCTTGTGTTTACTATTAAATTGTTTTTGTATCTTAATTTGTGGGTTATTAAATTAGTTATTTTGGATTTTAAATATTTGCTTGCCAGCTATGATCAAGACTTGATACTATGGAAATGAGAGTAAGCACCCCACATTTTAGTTGGGGAGGAGGACTTATATGTTAAGAGATGTACAAAATACAGAAGTAGTACAGAAACCAAAACAGCTAGTACTTATGGGGACCAGGGATGAAAAGCTTTACAGAGGAGGCAGTGCCTGAGTTGGGTCTTCCAGAATGAATCACTTCATTGAGCAAATAGGGGGGGTCTCATTCCCTATTGGCAGAAGATCATGCTTAAAGACATAAAGGTACAAGAGTACAGTGTATCATTGAACCATGAAATGGGAGGTAGGGAGTGGTAGCTGAAAAGCTGAGCATGAAACGGCTAGGTGAACAGAACACAAAACAGTAGCCGAAAACAAAGCTGAAATCAGGATTTTTGTATACAGTGCTAAGGAGCTGGAATGTTACAGTTTAGCCATTGTGGAAGATTGTGTCAAGCAGGTTATTTTATATGGTCAGATTTATATTTTAGAGAAATATCTTTGGCAGAACTTGGGAGGACAAGTTTCATGTGTTTGATGTAGGCAGACTTGTTAAGAGGTTATTGTTTTCCAAAATTAAGTTGAAGGACTGAGCTATGGTAGTGACAGAAGAAACAGTAGATTAGAGAGATCTACAAAGCAAAAATGACATGACTAAACTTACTGGATAGGGTATGGCAGAGAAAGGAGAAAGTAGGATCAAAGATGATTTCCAAGTTCTAAGTTAGATCAGGGTTGGCAAACCATAACCTGTGAGCCAGATCTGGTCTGCTTCTTATTTTTTATGGCCCATAAGCCAAGATTGGTTGTTAAATTTAAGAAAGTTTGGGGAAAAAATCGAAAGGAGAGTAATATTTTGTTAAATGTGGAAATCATATGAAATTCAAACCTCCATGTCTTTAAGTTAGTTATTTTGAATGCAACCACACTCATGTTTTTACTATGTCTGTGCCTGGCTTTCACGCTGCAACAGCAGGTGGATAGTTGTGACAGAGTCTGAATGGCTTGCAAAAGCTTAAGTATTTACTGTTGAGTCCTTTACAGAAAGAGTTAGCCAACCTCTGATTGGTTGATGTTGGTAGCACTGAGATGGGGAATAACGGAAATAGAATGGATGTGTACGGAGAGGAGAATGCTTTCAGTTTGTGTTTCTGGTGCCTATGGGGGCCACTTATATAAGGGGCCGTTGAGGATGCAGTAGGAAATTTAAGTGCAGAGGCGTAAGGCTGGAATACAGATTTAGAAGCCTTAAACATGAAGGTAATGGTTGAAGTTGTGGGTGTGAATAAGATCATTTCAAGGAAGGTATTTAAAATGAAGACACAACCCTGAAGAATATCAGCATATGAGGTATTCAGTAAGAGCAGCTTACAAAGGAGACTTCAAAGGAATATTCTGAGAAATTATGGGAGCTGATAGGAGAGAATTTAAATATTATTTATTTTATTGTGGTAAAATAAATATAACATAAAAATGACCATTTTAACCATTTTTAAGTGTATAGTTCTGTGGCATTAAGTACAGTCACATTCTTGTGCAGTCATCATCACCAGCCATCTCAGGAACTTTATCAATCTTTCCCAGCTGAAATTCTGTACCCATTAAGCACTAATTCCCCATTCTTCCCTCCATCTCATTCTTGTCAACTACCTTTTAATTTCATATCATACTTTATATGATGTTATACAAGTGGAATCATACAATATTTGTTTTTTTGTGGCTAGCTTATTTCACTGAGCATAATGGAGAGGAGAGAATTTTTGAGGAGGTAGAGACCAGTAGTATGAAATGCTAAATAGAAATCAAATAATGATTAAAGGATATAATTGATAGAGTATGGCATTTGGGACACTAGGGACCTGAGTAAAATCTTTCATGGATATAATAGAGGAGATAAAAATCAGGTTGCAATTAGTTGAGAAATGATTTGTAGGAAAGGAAGTACAGACTATTCTTTTTGTCAGTATAAGAAGGAAATGGGTGTGGGAGGAGAGGGATTACAGTGGTGGGAGAGATTTTATTTTTTGAGATAAGAGATTTGGCCATGCCTTTAAACTGAGTAGGGAGGGGTAGGAGTGACTGAGAAATGGGATATTAAAGATGGAGCAAGTACTAGAAGTCTTGATGAAGTTAAAAAGTGGGTATGGTAGAGTAAGAAAGCTAGAATGATAAGTGAGAGAATTGTGTATCAGTTTAAAATTTTGGTGGTAAAGCATTCTGGGAAGTATTCATTAATAATCGAATCTTTTCTGGTGTGTTCATTGTTTGCTATGATGATTTTTTGTTTTTAATAAAGATGATCAGGATAAAAAGGTGGAACCTCTTGTGGCACCTTCAAAAAAGCAAGAATCATTACCCCTGCATCAAGAGACTAAACAAGAAGGTGGATCAGGAAAGAAGAAAGTTTCATCAAAGAAGCAAAAGACTGAAAATGGTGAAATGTGTAGATATGTATTTTTATTTATTTCTTTTGATACGTACTTTTATAAATACTAATTTTAGAGAAGTATATTAGGGCAAGGACCCTAGAGGCCTCACATGCTCTCTAATTCCCAGCTTAATGTGTACTGTAACAACTTAAATACGGATGCAAGTCCAGAGTTCTGTTGGCGTTGTGGCTTTGTAGTGCTTTGACAGATATGCAGGGTGTAAGTTTGTGATGAAGAACTTTATCTGAAATTTTAAAAGGACAAAGCATATATAAATATTCTCATTCTTAACTGAGTTTTGAAAATAATGTAAATAGTATACAAGCTCTATAGAAGAAAAACATTCCTGAAATATTTGTACTTTTTAGTATTTTTAGTATTTAGTATTGTACTTTTTAAAGATTATGCTTGAGAACATTAGCTAGGTCTGTCACTACCCTATGTTCCTAATTATTTACCAAGCAATTTGTATGTATGTGTATATATGTATATATATATGGGAAGCATCCTATTAAATGTGATGGCACAATTTTTATTCATTCAGGATTGTCTAAGGAAGACTTAGCTATGAAATTTATGTAGGTTAAACAGTGATATTTATAATATTGGGCTATGATATCAAGTAGTACTAGAAAATAGTAAAATTGGAAAGGGAAAAGATGAAATTCTTTGATTTGCATTAAAATTACAATATATCAAGCAACCAGGTACAGAAAAATATTACCCCAAAATATTTGATAATATTAAATATTTATTACAGATTTCATATAAAAGAACTACGCATGTCCTAAAGTTGCTGTTGTTGTTTCTTAAAGTAGGGATATAGTGAGACTTCCATATGGGTGTAGAAGTTTGTATCTTTTACCCAGAGATATCAGACTTAAATATTCAAGTTCTTTGAGTTCTTATTAAAATTAGGAACAAAATAAGGAGGCTTCCTTCTTCCACTTTTAATGTTCTGGATGGAAGTTTCAGCCACTCTAATAAGATGTGTCGAGGAAATTAGAGGCATAACTATTAGAAATGAGAAGATATCTGCAAGGAACAGTGACTAATTTTTGTATCTAGCAGGTGAAAAAAACTCCATTAAGAATTATCAATTGGATAAGAACTCAGTGAAGTACCAACATACATAGAAAATAATATTTTTCCTTGAGCACTCATTATGAATGGATTCTTAGTTAAATCAGGAGAAACATGAGAACTAACTAAACTGTAAAGGATGTATAAGAAGGATTTTACAGATATTTGTTAGGGAGACAAGATGTGTAACACTCTTTGGATAACATAAATGATTTACTATAAAATATTGAACGGGTATTGCTTAATTAGAAGAGTGTTTTGACTTGTTAAATGATAAAATAGGAATTTAAAGCTAAATTGAGCTGGTCTTAGAGATTTGAAAATAAGTACATTTATCACTAAACCTAACTGTGCTTACATGTTATTTAATTACTCTGTTAGTGAAAAAACCCTGAATAATTTTGATTTGGTTGAACTTCAGTTGCAGTCTTGGTAGATGAACCCCTCATTCATGCAACAACTTACATTCCTTTGATGGATAATGCTGACGCAAATCCTGTGGTGGATAAGAGAGAGGTTGTTGATCTGATTAAACCTGACCAAGTAGAAGGAATTCAGAAAACAGGGAGTAAAAAACTGAAGATTGAAACTGATAAAGGTAATATACAGAATGTGACAGTCAGTTGTATTGAAAAAATACATTTTTCAGTTCTGATGGCGTTAGTGCATTTTCCTCATAGAACCAATGACTTGCAAAAGACTAATAGAATCTTTGTCATAAAAGATTTATTGATAGTTTTCTAATCCAGCCTTCTTAGTTTTGTAGAGCTGGATTTTGGACTTCGACTTGCCTAATAAGATCTTATAGTTGTTTTGCTGTCTGGTGATATTTTCCCTGTTGTTATTGTCTCTGAGAGGTTTCTATGCTAATTCACAACTGCCTTTTAGTATTATTATTTTTAATAGACTTTTTTAAAGAGCAGTTTAGGTTCACAGAAAAATTGAGTGGAAAGTACAAAGTTCCTATATACCCCTTGTTCCCGTACATGTACACAACTGCCTTTTAAAACTTGTAATATAGCTGAAGTATTAAAAGCTCTGGACTCCTTTGAGTCTAATGGATGGCAGTTGCTTTTAAGAAGAGGAAGCTGTTGTCTAATATAAGAGCCCTGGAGGAACTGAGGTGGGTGATTCAGGGGATGTGTGATGCGTGAATTTTTTTAAATGTGAGGATTACTTTTATCTATTTGATCTTTGTAAAATCAAATTTCCTTTTTATAATTGTCTTTGAGCTTATTTCTCATCTCTAAAATTTGGTTTATATGTCATGAATATTATGGTTAAATGAGAATATTTGTGAATATATTTAGTACAGATACTAGCATGTACTAGACATTTGAATGTTTTTTGTTTTTAAAGTAAGGTTATATTGGCACTTTAATATTCTGCAGTTTGAGCAAATTTTTAGTTACTGTAATTATTCCATATTGTATTAAAGATGATAAACACTTTCTTTCTCTCTTGATTAGAGCATTTACTCTTGTTTGAACTGAAATGTTAATCTATTTTCTCTTGGTTATTGACTTTCTGGGTCAAGAATTCTTGCTGCTTACTTTTGTTGAAGTTATTACTTGTATCTTTTAAATGTTAATTCTTTTTTTTTTTTAAAGAAAATGCTGAAGTGAAATTTAAAGATTTTCTTCTGTCCTTGAAGACTATGACATTTTCTGAAGATGAGGCCCTTTGTGTTATAGACTTGCTAAAGGAGAAGTCAGGTGTGATACAGGATGCTTTAAAGAAAGTAAGCATATTTTTAATTATGGACATATTTGGGGGCAGTGAGTAGAAGTTCATCAAGGAAGACTTCTGCTAGAGCAATAAATTATAAATTATTTTCACCCTTTATATCCCTAAGCACATAGTCACATTTAAAAGTTCTGGAATGCCTTCATAAGTTACTTTATGTATCCATACTAATCAGTACACTAATTTAGTTCAGTCAGGTGTCTGAGTCATTGAGGTTTTAACAAAAACAAATTCCTTATAATAAATAAGATGATTTATATGACTTTAAAGTCATTTGTCACTTGGCTAAGATGTACCTTGCTTTGCTCTGAATGGAAGTATTTAAGGCAAGGTCAGGTGATTTCTTGATAACATATGGAATGTTTTTGTGGCTGAAGACAGCACCATTCAAAGTGCCTGGGAATCTTTTTTTGTGTGTGTGTATAATATTACCCTTCTAAAATAAATGATTTAGATGATATAATCACTGCTGTGACTAACTAAAATTTGCAAAAAATGAAAAGAAATCTGTGGAAGTTAGTATTTAATTTCTCATAGGTCACACTCACTATATTATCTCACACACTATGTCATACTGGGAAAAGTGACAAGTTTTTAAGTGTTACTTACATAAGGTAAGATGACATGGTACCTGGTGTTCAGTGTTAGATAGTGGACTTAACTGTTCTTATTCTAAACATATACAAACACACACACACTCTCTCTCACACACTCCTAACACTTTTCTGCTTTAAAACTTTTAGTGCATTCCATTTTTTCTTAAAGACTACCCTAGTCCAAGCCATCACCTCTCATCTGATTACCTTCAATAGTCTCCTAACTGATATTTCCATGTTCCCTTGTAGCCTTCAGTTTTTTCTATACAACTGCAAGGTGTATGAGCTTATATTACTCACTGCTTCAAAAACCCCTTGGTGCTCTCTCTTTGCACTTAGAACATAATCCAGAGTTTTTAGAAGGCCAATGCCTATCTCTGTCTACAGCCTATCTCATGGAATTTTTCCCCATTCCCTTATTAGAGCGTACCAAACATTTTCTTTGGTCTGGACTGTCCTAAAACCCCCTAAGCCCTAATTTTTTCCCATGGCTAATTCCTTCTTTACATCTCCATTTAAGTATTATTTCCTCATATAAGGCTAATCTGAATTCCTAGTCTAAATTATTCTCTCTGCTATTCTTTATCATAACTATCTGGACTTTTTTTTTTGTCATAGCACTTGTTATAGCATTATAAGTCTGTTCATACTTCCAAGAATCTGTTGTCAGTGTGTTTTATAAATCTGTGACATCTTACAATGTCATATGCTTGGACAGTCTCCTTGTGATACCAACAGTGGCTCAGGGTAAACAAGGTGTTTGAGGGTCAGCAGAATAAGTGCAATAACTGTATGACTTTGAATACAAAGCAGATTATTCTGTTGCAAGGAACTTTCTTGAAGTTCTCGATTGAAGAATTTGTCTCTTAATTTACTTTAATTTAATTGGATTGGTGTATGTCTTAAAAGGGTTCTTAGTTATTTTGGGGGATTGAGAAAATCTCCTAGCAGGGAAAAGCCTCCAGCTAAAGTGACAGTGTGACTACCTAACTTTGAAATTACTGCTTTTTAAAATTAATTGCTTCAGTTGTTTTTCTTCTGACTAAAGATGGTGGTGGTAGCTTATGGGTGCAAGAGTAGTCATTTTATTGCTTGAGACAGCTTTGGCCTCTAGAGACTGGGTGGTAAATCACACTCACCTTGATAGCTGTATGAGGTGGCCATGGGGCAAGTTGGAGACTGTTAAACATAAGGTTTTGAAATAGAGTAATTATTTTGAAACTTCACATTTTTCCTTTTCCATGGAACCTTTTGCCTTTCAATTAAAATCTTGTTCTGGGTTTCTCATGGAGTGGTTCTATTCTTACCTGCAGGGACTCAGTGTCCTTGCAAGTCCCCTATATCTGGGAAATGTAGGCAAGTTTAATTTCTCCCTTTTTCTGTCATGGAAATTGAGTCTTGGTCAAACCTTTTAGTTGATTTCAAGATCCTGGATGTAAATGAATCCCCACACCTAATAAAGACCACCTCAGAGAGAGGGAAGGATAAGTGCAGGAGCACAAGCAGAGGCATGGGATAGAGATAGAGGAGTTAGAGGACTTGCTGACCAAGTAGAAGCGGTGGCTAAAGAAGAGTCCAGAATGAATGCTTGTTTTTGCTGTAAAGTAACTGAATAGATTGTGGTGACAGTAATATTTGTGAACACTTTGGAGAGGAAGAGAGAATAGAGGGTTGTGAAAATTTTAGAAAGTTGTTTTAACAACTTGGAGCATTTAAGTGGCTACAATCATCTCACAGTTGAATGTAAATTTCTCTGGAGTTGAAAAGAGATTGCAATGGGAGTAATTTAGGAAAGTAATCCACTATCACCAGTACATATGTGATGTATATTAGACCATTAGAGGATATGGGGAGTGGTAAGAAAGTTCAAGAATGAACCTTGAGAAGCACCAACATTTAAAGGCCAGGGAAAGCCACCACAAAGGGTTCAGAGAGGAGAAACACCAGGAAACAGTGGAATCAGAGTTGCCTAGGGAGGGTAGGGAGGTGAAGGGTCAGGAGAAAAGATAACAATGACATGGTTTAGAGCAATCAAGGAGAGAGAGTATAGATTGAAAAATTGGATTCGATATCCTTAGTGAAAGCAGTTTCATTGGAGTACTAACTAGACTGTAAATAAGTGATGAATGAATAGAAAAGGTGACAGTGAGTGTCCACTTTTAATAAGCTTAGATGGGAGGGGAAAAACAGTAAAAGCTAGAGAGGTTGCAGAGTTGGAGAGGAGATGTTACATTGTGTGTGTTTAAGCTACAAGACAGTTCTGTTTTGCATTTAGAGTACAGGTTAAGATCCTGGACTCTAGAGTCAGATTTTCTGGGTTCAAATCTGGACTCTCCTACTTTGAGCTTTGTGACTTTAGGTTAAACTACTGATCCTCAGTGCCTCAGTTTCTTCATCTCTAAAATGGGAATGATAATCAAGTTTTGAGGATTTAATGAGATAATACATAGTAGATGCTTAGAGATCCTAGCATTACAGTAATTGCTCAAAAATGTTGACAAAAATGTATGATTACAAGTAAGAAAATATTCAAAATGTATTTGATAATTTTAGTTGATTATTAATTTCTTAGTGTTGGCTTTTAAATATATTTGCCTCAATTATGTGATTTTAGGGGGAAGGGTATAGCTCAAGTGATAGAGTGCATGCTTGGCGTGCGTGAGGTCCTGGGTTCAATCCCCAGTACCTCCTCTAAAAATAAATAATAAACCAAACTACTACCTCAAAAAATTACGTGATTTTTTTTCCCCCAACTCTAGGTTATTAACCATTTTGGCCCCATGCTATGTGTAGAACAAGAGGAAGTCTCCCTGTTTAAAATTTTTCCTGCTTTCTCTCTTTTCTCTCTACTTTTGCTAATTATAGCATTTGTTTATCAGGTACTTGCAATACTTAATGTTTGTTTTGTGACTATAATTTTAATGTATCTTTTAGTCTTAATTCTACAGCTTAATGGTGAATTCAAAGCTTGAAACTAATTCTTTTGCCATAGCTTGTGTATTCATCTCTTGGTTGACTAAATTTTTTTTTCCTGGAATTTCTTTAAGAAAGTCTTATGGTAACTGTATTTCCCAAATTCTGGCAAGTTAAAATGCTTCTGTGTTGTCTTTATACTTGAATAATAATTTGGTGGGGTGTAATGTTTCTGGGTTTCACTTTCTTTCCTTGAGAATTTGTCATGCTTGCTTTACCATTGTCTACATTTATATCACTGGATAGAAGTCTGAGACCAGACTGAATTTTGCATTCTTTTCATGTATTTTTGTCCAAGTATGCTCTCACACTAAAAGCATCCTTAGCATGATCAACCAAGTTTTTATTATTTTATTGAGCTTTTCCAGTGGCCACCCTACTGTACAAACCTCAAGGGATTCAGCTTCTTTGAAGTTATAGTAATTTTACTATCATGTGGCCTTGCATTGATTCCTATAATATTCCGTTGGATAAAGCAACTCATGGTGATATTTTTGTCACAATTTTTGTCTGTTCTTGACAGTCTTATTCTGGTAATCTCTTACTTTTTCTCTTGGCATTTGGTTTTTCTTACTGTTTTCCTTCCTTTTTTCTTACATTTTGCATAAACCGTGTTTTCTTTCTTTTTGACTAATACTCCTGTTCCAATGAGGGATGTTCCTCTTGGATCATATCTGTGGCTGGAGGTTGATAATGAACGGCCAAGGCCATCTGTTCTCCTTGGGATGTGCGTGAAAATGAGTTCTTTTAGCCTTTCCTTCTTCTCAGATAAAAGGCTTCACTACAGAGAGTCTCACTTTAGAGAATCTCTCTTAATTCTGCCTCACTGACCAAGCTTCTCTCTCTGAGTGAAGTTTATATGTATGATTTCTCCTTTATTCCTACTTCTACTTCTTGAGACCTTCTACCAAGAAAATTCCAGTCTTCTACATTTGCACTGGTTGCTCATATCACGAGGGATTGTTGGTTT